TTGCAGCAGCAGAACTCTTCATAATCGCTTTGGCAGCAGGGCGCTTCATAATCGCTTTGGCAGCAGGGCGCGTCATCTTGGAAGCGAGGCGGCCTCAACACTGCTATGGGGAGGGTTCAGTCACCCTCAGATCCAACTATTGCAGCAATGCATGTGTTGACAATGTCACACACAATTTCCGTAGCACAATTTAATTGCAAAGTAAGCACGTCAATAAGTCAGTCAGTGGAGTCAGTAGCTCAGTAACAGGTCCTGTTGGCTGGTCAGTCATCTGTCTGGGGTGTGAAGGGAGTGGCGCAATAATAAGTTGTATTATCAGCTTATTACTTTTGGCAATGCAAAAAATGAACAGTTTGAACAGACTCGTGGGTTGTGACACACACACGTCATTTGTTGCTCGTTTCGCAGCAAGCACTGTCACAGGGTAAAACTAAGTTGGAGCTCAAGACTCGCACCTGGTGGCTCAGAGTCTCAGAGGTCTCTGACAAGATCGAACTTTCCATTGCCACAAGAGCTTCAACGATGCACTCCCTGTTGCACCGCATTCGCAGCGACTTTCTCTTTCTCAAACTGCATTGGACTGCAGTTTCAAGGCTACATCGATGGTGCATCAATAGGAACGCCACAGCAGCAGATGTGCTCCGATGCGCTCCACCATGGCAATGAAACAAGATGCTGCGACAACGCCCTTCAGTCCAAGCCCGTGTAGTTTTGATGTCATTGTACATGTGCTGCCAAGTCCGTTTGAAGTCGTTCTTGAAGAGGTTCCACTCCTCACCCTGTAGATGGGTTTTATCCCACAGGCCATAGGCTAGGCGCTCTACTGTGTTGTGTTTTCCACACGTTCCAGACCATGCTTGTGCATGCTGTCAGCTGCATTCAAAGCAATGACCAAATCCGGCTGCACAGGTTTCCCGACCTGACTTATTTCACCCAACTCATGGACCCGCAGCCCGGCAGCCAAGCTTCCAATCATGAGTTTGAGAGCGTTCGAATTTGGACAGGAGGGATCATGGCGGTCACTGTCACTCTCGCCTTCGTAAATCACACTTGCATCCAGTGGCCACCTGGTCACCTGGTCATATCCCAGTCCTTTGCAAATCTTGCCCACTCCTTTTCCACATGCAGGTCCATGTCTGTCCAGTCACTTCTGTACGCGTCTTCCACCATGTTCTTGATCAGAAGGGATTTCGGTTGATGATATATACGCGGGACATTGATTGAAACTGTTGAAGGCAACGCGACGAACACACTGTTTGACATCATCACCGCCCCCCGATTGGTATGAGCCGACGCAATAAAGTCTAAGATCATTGCGGTAAAAAACAATGACCGACCACCATGCGTCAGCATTTTAACAAATATCTATAAATGTGAATGCAAAACAACAAAATGCACGGCATTCATGAAGACACACATCATACAAATGCCAAAAAAGGCAGAAACAAATCCCAAACATGCAAGTTGCTTTCTACCTGACTCTTCGAGATAATTCAAGATAATTCGAGATAGCAAAAACCCCTAAATCTAGACCCCATGTATTGGTTAGGGACGAAGTCAGTGGCGTGATTCACCACATAGGCCTTCTGCCCGCCATCGCCCCTGCCATTGCCCTTGTGCGCCTTGCTCGAGCCGCAGTCATTCTTGCCATCGCCTTGCCGCCTTTGTTGCTTGACGCCTTGCATTCGGCAGCTCCAGCCCAGTGTCCAACTTCTCCCCAAGCAGCGCAGTGTGTTGCCTTCTTCCGGTCGCTGATGGTGGGCCTGTTCTTGCCACCCGTGAATCGTCGGCCCAAAGTGACTGCCGCCAGCTTCTTGGCCGTAACCGTGAGCACCTCAGCCAACTCGGAGAGCTCATTCTCGGCGTCCGGGGCATCCTCGACGCGCCGTCGGGGTCAGCGTCGGCCTCCTCGATGGTCTCCAGGTGTTCGTCGTCCATGTCGAGCTCGTCAGGGCCGCCGTCTTCGTCGGTGTTCTGCTCCGCCTTGGTAGTCTGGAAGACGCGCTTGGTGAAGTTGCCCTTTCCGCCACGGTGGTTGTTGTGGTGCGGGTTGTAAACCACCGGTGGTGCGGCAATCTCTTCTGCTCCAGGGTCAACCTGCTGCGATCTAGAAGTCTGGATCCACGACTGTCGTTGTCGTAGGCGAGCAGCATGTTGATTCCAGCGCTCTGGGGTGGCCGGTACCGTTGGCGAAAGCTCTCAAAGACTCACCATTGTGGCGGCTGATCGTCTGATCGTCTCAAACTGGCGCAGGTAGTGTCGCTTGACATAGACACTTTTTGGCTGGAAAGCTGCCTGGAGCTTGTTGAGCACGAAGGTGATGCCGTTCTTGCAGTAGATGTTGTTGATGTCCTCACGCTCCAGCTCGCTCTCCGCTTCATGTTGCGCAGCATGAGGCCGGCCTCCGCGTCCGTGACATAGTGCTTGACGGCGAGTTGCCACGCGAAGACCTTGCGCTCATACTTCTCGTAAGCCCTCAGGTCGCTAGATTGATATCGCCGCTGGGGTGGTGACGGTGGCGCCCCCCGCGGAACCGGACTTCAGGTTGTGGTCCTGTTGCAGAACTCCATGACTTGTCATCGTTCTTCTGGTTGGTCAGGGTCCCTTGAGGATGTTGGTGAGGTTGGACATCAGGTCCTATCATGGGGCCTGGGTCCCTTAATACTTTGGCCGTGCCTTTACCGCGTGGTTAGTGGGCTCTGGCTCGACGACCGGGTTGTTGGTGGGTGCCTCGCTGCTCCATGCTGTTTGCGACCTCGTCGTCGCCGGCATTGCGCGGACTTCTCGGTGTGCTGGGACTGGTTGTCAGGCTCACCGCCTGCGGGAATATACATCCAGGTGCTGTAGTCGTTGTTCACTTTGGTCGGCATGTTGATGTCATGCACCTCGGATGAACCACAGGCTGAGCATGTCCACGTTGCTTGCCGTGGGTCCCATCCCAGCTCCAGGCAAGAGCACATTGCGCATGCACATGTCCTATGCAGGCCACATCCAGTAATAGTATCACTTGTGTTCCGGGATCCAACGGTACAGCATCATGGACTGCATCCAGCCATCGCAACATTACGGTACAGTTATTCCAGGAGCTCACACCACGCCAGAGCTCTGTGGTTTCTGGCAAAATGCCACACATTGCCGCAATATCTCCGACACGAAAAAGGGAGTGATTGCCTAGCAGCACCTGTGGCAATCGCTGATGTGTTGCAAAATCCGGTGAACATGCTGCCAAAAATGTGACTGCACCCTTTCGAATGGCCTCCCACGGCCGGCGAGCCACTTCTGTCTTCGTGGCCGAAGACTTTTTCAATAATTATCAATTTCGCCGTTGTGCTCCGTGATGGATGCCCAGGTTGGTATTCAGAAGGTTGGCCACCATGTGGACCTTGGCCGAGGTGCTGAAGGTCATGTTCCTCGGTCACTTGAAAACGATGGTGTCCGTGGTCGTGATCCAGGGAGTTGGCCAGGTCGTGGTCGTCGTCGACGAAGTAGTCCTGCCAGTCATCAACCACACGCAGATCGTGGTGCGTGTTGGGCTCCACGCAAGCATCGCTGCGAGCTCCGTGACGAGGCCCGAGCAGCGACTGCAGGTCCAAGTGCCGTGGCTCAGCAGGGGCAGCGGGAGAGTATCCTCGACCAGGAGCGCCGCCGCCGCCAGGGGCCAGTGGGACCGGATCCCCCATGCGGCCTGCGGAAGAGCCGCAGCCGCTCCATGTGGGCATCTGCAGAGAAAGGCCCGCGGATCGAGCTCCGCTGCCAATGTGCCAACTCGCTGGCGAAGACGAGAGCGGCTTTTCTCCATCCAATGCGGCGAGTCGCCGCTTGCAAAAGGCTAAAGTAGCCCAAGGGCGCCGCTTGAGCCCGAGGGCAAACGGACATGGGCCTGATTGGCAACTGGGGACCGAAAGAACCGCACAGAAACAATCACAAGAACAATAGCTAGACAAACAGAAAGACTGAGAAAAACAGATAGGTAGAACAATAAATAACCAATGGAAAATGGACTTAGGTAGATAGACGAACAAACAGACAGAAAGGAAGGAAGAAAGAAAGAGAAAAAAGAGAAAGACGAAAAGAGAAAAGAAGGAAGAAGGAAGGGAAAGGAAAGGAAAGGAAAGGAAAGGAAAGGAAAGGAAAGGCAAAAAGAAAGAAAGAAACAAAGAAAGAAAGAAAGACAGAGAGAGAGAAAGAACAGAAAACAAGGAGAGAAAGAGAGAAAAAGAGCAAGAGGAAGAGAAGAGAAAGACAAGGACCTGGAGAAAGAGATGAACAGAAAGAGACACACAGAAAGAGAGAGAAAGCAAAAGAGGAAGAGAAGAAAGAGAGAAACGGAGAGAGAGAGAGAGAGGCAGAAAGAAAGAGAAAGAGAAAGAGAAAGAGAAAGAGAAATAGAAAGAAAGAAAGAAAGAAAGAAAGAAAGAAAGAAATAGAAAAAGATAAGCGAGAAAGAGAAAGAAAGAAAGAAAGAAAGAAAGAAAGAAAGAAAGAAAGAAAGAAAGAAAGAAAGAAAGAAAGAAAGAAAGAAAGAAATAGAAAAAGATAAGCGAGAAAGAGAGGAAGAGGAAGAGAAGAAAGAGAGAAACGGAGACAGAGAGAGAGAGGGAGAGAAAGAAAGAAAGAAAGAAAGAAAGAAAGAAAGAAAGAAAGAAAGAGAGCAAAAGAGCTAGATGAAGAGAAGAAAGAGAAGAGAAAGAGAAGAGCAAGATAAAAATCAGGAGAAAGAGACAAACAGAAAGAGAGAGAAAGCAACAGAGAGCAAAGAGAGGAAGCGCAAGAGAGAAAGTGCAAGAGAGAAAGCGAAAGGGAGAAAGCCAAAGAGAGATTACGAAAGAGATGAAGAGAAAGAGAAAAAGGAAGGCAGAGAAAGAGAAGGAGAAAGAGAAAGAGGAGGAGGAAGAGGAAAAGACAAACGCACTGCCCTTGCCACACTGATCCCCACCTCAAAACTGCAAATAGCCGGCTCAGTACGCCCCCCCCGAAAAGTCCAAAGCTGAGGCTACCGCGGCCACAACTCTCGAGGGAGGACCAGTGCCCTGAACATCCATGGGCTTTGGCAATTGCCTGTGTCCCCCCGTCCCCGGCCCAAAGCTCTGCAGTTGAAATGTACGGCCCACCTGCGAGATGTAGTTGATGAGCGTGCCACACCTGCTGCGAACTCCAGGCCTTGGTGTTCCAAGCAAGCTCCTGCTCACCCGCGGCATTCCCCCCAAGGCATGTGCGGAGACAATGGAGACAGCAACGCCTGGCAGAGATGCCAACACGCAAACAGAGAAACAGAGAGACCAGTCAAGTCTGTCAATTTCTGACCAATGGAACGCAACAACAGCGCCTCCTTGCACGAGTGCCACACAAATTCGTCCAGTCTTGCACTGCTCCGCCGTCGCTGATGCTGACACTCGGTTTCTTCACATCTTGCTCAGCCCTGCCTGCTGCCACTGACGCTTCAGGTTCCCTGGCACTCGCTGGAATGCCTTGCAAGAGCAAGAGCCGACATTGAGGCAAATCAGGCTCAAGCGCGGCCTGGTGTTCCTGGAGGGAAACAAGGATAGACAACCTTCAGGGAGGCAAGCCACAGGTAGCAACAAGAAGCCATTCCGAAAGTTGGCACACGCAGTCGCAGGCCTGGTGCCATCGCACAGCTCCAAGCATTGCAGCGGCTCATGCGGCCTCGCACTTTGAGATAGCGCAAGTTGTGGGCAGCGCAAGCAACAAAAATGCTGCAAGTCCCGCCTGTCAGCGCCAGCCTTCCTTGTCTGCACAGAACTTTCGGCAACGTGCACTGGTGTGTTCCCATTTAAGGCTCACACTTGCGCTTCTTGGCCTATCACAAAAATACAATGATTCTCACCCTTGTCGGGCACTTCGTGGCGCCTTTTTACTTTGAGGTGCAGGTTTTTCAGGCTTCAGTCCTCCGACCTCAGCCAGCAAAACAAACTGACAAGCGCGCGGCCAAACGCCCACTGAGTTGCCAACCAACTCAACCAAGCGAGAGTGCGCATACGCTGCAGCTGGGTGGGCTGGCAAGTGCTTTGAGGCCTCAAAGCTGAATTCAATCCGAGGAAGAATCACTTTGGTCGCGTAATCCTTGTGCGTGCACCCTTTGCCCTGCAGGGCCCGCGCCAAGCAAACGAAAAGGTAGGCCCAGCCTACATATCAAGTTTGCGAAGACCCCCGCGCATTCATTGGCACAGAACTCCGCCGCAACAATGGGTACCGGCGGTACCGGGTACAAAATCTGATGACTCAAGCGCAGCGCCTTCTTTGAAGTGCTTGAAGAAGCCCACCAGGAGCTGGTCTGCCTGCATCACGCGAAGGCACAAAACGGACTGCCTCAACATGGTTTCCCTTTTGAACAAGCCCAAAACACATTTCCAAGGCAGAGGGTGGGTGCATGTCCCCGTGTTTCCACATGGCTTCAAGGGCCAGAATGAGAGCCAGGTTTCTGGGCGGGGAATTTTTGGAGATGTGAGCGGAGTTGGACCTGTTCTTAGAGGGGATATGACAGCTTTCTAGAGGATTTGATTGGCTTCTGGAGGGGAATTTGGCGGGCTTTAAGGGGGAGTTGACACAGCGGGGTTTGACCGGAGTTGGACCGGTCGTTAGAGGGCATTTGACTGTGACTGGTCTAGATGGGAAGTTGTAAATCCCAACCATATTGCACCTTGGCCTTCTCTGTCGCATTCTGGCACAAGCGCACAGCCAGCTCGGCCATGCTGCGGAACCTGGGGGCGTTCCCAACCTGGGGGCTTTTCTAGACTCACTTTTGCATAGCTCCGGGCGCCGGAGCGGCGGCGGTGGAGGTCTGGCCCTCGGGGAAGAGGCCCTGCGAAGCGGCCCGATAACTCCTTTGTACACTCCGCAACTTTACTCTTCATGAAGTGAGGGACACGTTTAAAGAGAAGCCAAAAGGGAAGCATCAAGCATCGGTGGACCCATTTTCAGCTCTGCGCATGGCCAACTGTGAGCCCCTTGCGTCTTTGAAAGCCAGCCATTCTCAAGGCCCCCCCGCACCCGGCCGCTAAATTCTCACAACGCAGCTTCGTGCATAAGGTAGGTCTGAATGGATCGTGCTGGGATGGAGGCACGGAGTGCCCGCTGCCCAGCCCGAAGCTTAAAGTTCACAAACAAGTTGGAGGCATTCAGAACCACTGCAGCAAGGATGCCTCAGTTTCCAGCCAAAACGCCGAGTAAAAGTGCGGGAATTGAGGGAGAACATGCAGCCTCCGCACGCATCGAAGGCCGTTGGAAACACAAAAACAGGTCAAAGCTGGAAACCCTGCGCAATAAACTAGTCGCCAGCCACCCAGCCACTCAACCCACCCCAGCGAGGCGCCATCGGGACGCCGGAAAGCGATGCCCTGCAGGCCGTCCTGTGCTGTGCAGGTGCCGTAGCTGCGGTTTGCCCCCTGCCAGCAGGGCGTGCCGCTGACACTCGTTTCCAAGCCTCGTTCGGGGGACAAAGCAGCCAAAAAACAAAGGGAAGCGAGCTAGGCGGGATAGGTT